AATGTCCAACTGATAAAGCTGAAAGTTTTTTCACTTGTTATCTACAGTAAGATAAATACATTCACCAACTTTTATTAAAATAGAACCATTTAAACTGGGTGTTCGGATTTATGTCACTTAGTATACCTGTTCGTTACTGATTTGTGCGGAACCTAATCCTTTATGAACTGAGTCAGCCTACTTCGCCGCATTTGTCGCTTCCAAAAGTCAGGAGGAACTTTCATAGTGATGGTACGCTGCTTTTGACGCCTAGTGTATTCAACCTGTACTATCGTAACTCATGGTTATACGATAGTTGGGCACATATTCCTGTCCTCTTCCTACAAATGTATATTAGGAGCTTAGTGCTCTATATTAAACAGCGTATGACATGCATACACTTTGTATGTTTTATAGAGGCAGCTTTGCTATATTCTGCCTTTTTGCTGTCGTCGCTTAAGCAGGAAATGTTTTACATCGTTTTACGATACGAATATTGGACGAGCTAATCGCTACTGGCTGTCAGTGAACGAGGTGATGACTTTGATATAATTTGATATATGTTTATCATCAGGTATATGTGGATTTTAACGGTGGTAAATCAATTCACTTTTTTCCATCTACTGGCGTCCCACAAGGATCTTCCTTAGGTCCATTACTATTCGTCATTTTTATTAATGACTTAGTTAATACGATTGACCGCAATATTCTTCTCTACGCGGACGACGTAAAACTCGCCGGACCTTTGTCAAATTGAACATGTCTAGGACATGATAGGTCGCAGGCTCTTGAATTTAAGATACCCCAATCGGATATCGACCATATTATCAGCACGATGCCAAGGCGTGTCAATGAGTGTATAAGAAATCGTGGATCCTCAACACATTATAGGACCAGCCTATACCGATAGATCAACGCACCCGACAATTTAAAAGAGCCTTGGGGCTCCTTAATCTGAACTCCATGAAGTATGGACAGTATTCCAGGTCGCATCTTATCTGGACTTGATCTGCACCATGTATGGAGTGAGAAGGTTGGATGTCGAAGATACTTAGGTCTAAACCCAGTTTCTTTCCAGCAGCAGCTCTTGTAGTAGAGGCGACGTGCGACGAATACCTTGTTGGTTAAGACTGTCTATGCATCAAAACCAGTTTTAAGCTTCAGCAAGTTTTTGATCCCGAGCGAAATTCGCGACAAGTTAGCATGCGAAAGCTGTTTTCCGTTAATGAGATTTACTTAACAGGAGACGAGCTCATGAATGTGAAAAGAATGTTGGTGCGAAAACGGGCCCCTGGGGAACACCCGCGTTGACACTGTAGCATAGATAAAAAGATACAACAAGCCATAGCAAATCCTCTGTAGGAGGACATAGGTTGGAAGCATGCATAAAAGAGCAAGATGCCACAGCTGACAGAAGACCCAATAGCAATGATAAAAGTTTCACGTCATGACTTAAGCTTGGAGGTCTCCTGTGAGAAACCATTCTGCCTACCAATGATCAAGTGGTGACCGGGAGTATTTCAAAACAGTCTCACGAGTTGCGTTGTCAACTCTCAATTTGAAACCTGTTTTATATAGACAGCTCTCTAATTTGAGAATGCCACTTTTACTTATGCATGGAAGCATAAGTAAGGGCCCAATCATCAATCGTTTCTACAATTGTCCTCCTTTATTTTCATGGTCTTTTCTCTTCTTCAGAAAGGCGGGGATATTTCTAGGTTTCTACTGTTTTTTATAATGCGTTTATTGCCCAACAGTCATTACCATTCACAAAGCAAAAAGCAGTAGTATAGCTTACATGGTAGTTATAGCACAAAATGAAAAACAAAAAAAAAAACAGAAATAGAAGAAACATAAAAAACATGACCAAAATTCATCATAGATGAGCTCGAGATTTATTCTTTAATTCTCAGACACTGCAGTGAAAAATATCACATACACTTGAAATTTTGTTGGCATTTCGGCACATAAAATTGATCGGAGCCTTTAATAGTAACTTAGTTTGAGCTCTTTTGCATAGGGAAGTATTGTATTGTCTAGATGCTATTCTAGGAACCAGAATATCTACTTGAGATAACAATACAGGACCATCTACTTTTCCATTGAAAACCTTGTGCAAGAAAAGTACAGATAACTGATATTTACGGCTCTCCAAAGACTGATAATCAAATTTATGTAGTAGCTCAGAATAAGTGCAGGCTCTTGGCGGATACATACCATCGATTTTAAAAGCTATGAATTTCAAAAACTTATTTTGTGCTGTTTCAATAGCAACGATGTACTGGCTACATATAGGACTCCATATGAGTGAGCCATACTCCAGTTTGGATCTTACTAGACTGAAACACAGAGACGATAATGCTGAAGTGTCATTGTAATTGTTGCTATTCCTAACAATAAAACCCTATTGTCGAATTCTCAATAGTATACCGATAAGATGTAGGCTTGGATTTGCGACTGAATGCTACTACTTTGCATTTAGATATGTTCAAGTGCAGATGATTTCTTACACAGCAGTTTTGTAGGAAAGTGATTTGTTCCTGTAAGATGTTACAGTCTCTTCACTGGATACTGATATATATATATATATATATATATATATATTTAAATCATCCGCAAACAATAGCTTATTCCAATTAAGTGAATCACATTGATATAAAGTGAGAACAGAAGAGGTCCCAAATTGGATCCCTGCGGCTCACCGCTGGTCGCAGTGAATACTTCCGATCTCACATTATTTACACATACATATTGTCTATTAGATAAATTAATATGATTTTAATAGCAAGAAATAATTATTTTGTAAACCTAGATAACAAAGTTTTTTGAGGAAAATCTCATGACTGATCTTGTCAAAAGCTTTGGAAAAGTCGGCATACGTTACATCAACGTGACCCCTGCTGTCAACTGTTTCACATAGAAACTGGCGAAAAACCGCTAAGTTGCTAATAGTTGACCGAAACTTCGTGAAATCGTGTTGAAAAACAGAAATGCAATTTTTTGCACTACTGATAGATACGATCATATAAAATCATTTCAAAAAGCTTAGCAAATTGTTCAAAATGGATATTCCCCTGTAGTTAGTGATGATATCGGAAGCTTGACTTTTAGCAATTTTAAACTTGTCAGGAAAAACGGAAGTATTCAGGATCAAATTAAGCAATACTTGAAGCGTCCTTGTTAGAAAGATGGACTTTGATCTAGCCCAGAAGTGAACTTGTTTTTTAATTTTCGTCCATCTTTTCGAATTTCGTGCTCAGTTATCGATACGCAGGTAATATCCAACAGATCGCATCCTTGAAAGTCAAAACTAAGTTGCTCATCAGTAATATTAGGTACAGAGTAAACACTCTCAAAAAACTCAGCGAAAGCATTACTGATATTTTTAGGATCATTGAACATTTCATGTCCATCAGATATTTGTCCAGGAATCCTAGATGTATTATTTTCTTGATGCATGAACGCCCAAAACGATTTCGGTTCATGTTTTAACTGATTTTGAATTTTTGTTGACTGTTGACAACAGATGATAAAAATCCAGTCTTACTAACCTGACATTTCTTGGAATTGGAAAATAAAATATAACTTAAAAATAGAGCGGTGACATGAGAAATCTAGAAATGCCACTATCTTTCTGGGAATAACTATGAAAATCAAGGAGGTCATAACGGCGTCCTACAATTATTGTAGGAACAACTCACGGCCCTAATTCTATAGAAACATTTTGGTTTTTGTTGTTTGGATTCATTCAGCACGCACAAATAATCTGCGTATTGTGACCTAGTTTGTCTTGCAATGTTTTCTACCGGCAAATCAGCAATATATAGATTCCACAGGTAAGGCCCGAGGATAGATCCCTGAGGAGCACTACGAGTAACAGAGTCAAAGGCTTTTGAGAGGTCGATAGTAACCGTCATCGTTGTATTCTCAGCTGAGTAACTACCCAACTACAGCTCCTTGGAATGATATTAGTAATCCCCAGAAAAGACAAGAGAGAAGGAGGAATCCAAAATATCTAAACAGCAGACATTGACGATACCTGCTCCTATTCTAGGTACAATAAATTAGAGATTGTGTACCAAACACAAACAAATCCTATTCATAACTCTTGTTTCTTATTGTTGGTACAATGAAAGTGACAATTCTTTTTTCCGGCACACCATAAGGCACTCTCAACTTCCGGCGTCGATCCAGGCACTTCCTGTCTGATCGCATGCGAGTACATGTCATTGACGTCTCTAGGAATTCTATAATTAAACATAGCCGCTACTTACATATCCTCATAATTAAGAACCGGGTATAACGACGACGTATGAGAAACAGATACTTGAAATGAAATCCCAGCTTTTTATTAACGCGGCAGAAAGGCTGGGAAAATGTCCTGCAATTGGATGGTTGAGTTTCTGTTTGGCGCTTGAAAACATAAGTTAGGTGGTGTGGTATTCTGTTCAAACTCATTCGATATAAAAAAATGGCGTAACCTGCACTTCCTAGTTCAGCAATATTTGAACCCTTCAAAAATACAGTCAATCAGAAAAGTTAAACAGATCAAGTCAGTCAAACGGGCTCACAAAATCAATGGACATTATTTCCCTACCTTACCGGTAGTTACTGTCTATCTGGCAACGTTGTCCCTTTGCACATCTTCGCGGCATCGATGCAACAAGTTATCGAAGTAGATCGAAAGATCCTGTACATGGTTAAGCAGTATTTACCAGCAATACTTTCACATAAAACGCTTATTATAAACATGTGTATCGAAAATTCCTACTTTCCGGAATCATGGAATGTAGAAATAGTTAAGTTTCTCCATAAAGTGAGGAATCCGTGCAGCATATCTGATTTGCTTCCGGTTAGATTGCTATGCGGGTGTTCAAATATATACTAAGTGACATATAAATCCGAACACCCAGTTTAAATGGTTTTATTTTGATAAAATTTTGTATAAGTACTTAATGAAGCATAATAAGTAAATGATAAAAATTTCAAAATGATTGCACTGCTTTAAAGCCCTTTGACCTTTAATAATGTGTGGATGCACCCTGATGTGCTACACATTCTCCAACGCGCCTAGGCATGCTTCTGATCAGGTGGTCAATGTCCTCCTGTGGTATCTCATTCCAGGCAACCACCAACTCCTCTCGAAGTGCTTCTAGAGTCTGAGGAGGACGTTGCAAATTGAGCAATCTCCTACCCATCATATCTCACACGTGCTCAATTAGGGATAAGTCGGGAGATCTTGGTGGCCATAGTAACAATGTGACATCATTATGTTGAAAGAAGTCTATTGTGACTCTTGCAACATGTGGTCGGGCATTATCTTGTTGGAAAGTTGGATGTGCCAGGGTGTCAAGATAGGGTAAAAGATGGGGTTCTAGAACTTCGTGGATATAACGCTGCGCGTTCATGTTATCTCTGATGAAGATTAAAGGTGACCTGGAACCATAAGCTATAGCACCCCAAACCATAACTCCAACAGTGTGATGAACATGTCTTTCAATAAAAAACTGTGGATTTCTCCTTTCACCACGTCGCCTTCTAACTCTGGCACGACCATCGTGCATGCCTAAACAAAATCGAGACTCGTCACTAAAGACAATACTGTTCCATTCCTGATCCCAGAGTGACCGTTGTCTGCACCACTCAAGGCGATTACGTCGGTGTTCTCGAGTTAAAGGGAGGACCCAGTGTGGCCGGTATGAAAACAAGCCAAAACTTCTCATTCGTCGGTAAACACTTCGCATGCCAATAGGTCTTCCGTGTTCTGCAAACCATTCATTTGCAATGGACCTGGTAGTGGAGAAACGGTACCTTAAGGCCAATAATCTTAGGCGGCGATCTTCACGGTCTGTTGTTCTATGGCGGCGTCCAGTGCCCCTTGCTCTTTGCGTACGGCCTTCTCGAAGCCATGCCTGACAACACCTAACCACAGTGTCTACACTTCTTTGTACTCTAACTGCAATTGCCCGAAAAGAAAGTCCAGCTTCCCGAAGTCCCACTATACGGCCCCTATCAAACTCACTAAGTTGACGAAATCGTACAGGTCTCCGTACTCTAGGCATCGTAACCGATCGTAAAGGATGTCAAGAACCAAAATCCGCCAATGTTGATTCTTTACTGCGGCTGAAATATTCATTTCTAGAGCGTTAGTGAATTAAAAAAAAGCAGTATAAAAACCGGAATGTCCAACTGATAAGGCTGAAAAATTTTTCACTTGTTATTTACAGTAAGATAAATACATTCACCAACTTTTATTAAAATAAAACCATTTAAACTGGGTGTTCGGATTTATATGTCACTTAGTATATTAGAAAAAATCGTATACCAACAAATTTTAACATGTATAGATGAAAACATCGCGACTGCACTTCTGAATCTACTAGTCGTTAGATAAAAAATTAGCATCGACAGTTGTTTCGCTTGATAACGCAAAAACGTTCGATTGTATTGACCATGAACTTTTATTTACCAAAATTAAAATATTGTGTCTTTGAAAATAACTCTGCATCGTTTCTCAAATCGTATTTACAAAATTGCAGGCAACAGGTGTCGTTGAATATTACCGTCTCGTATATTTCAAACGTTATATGCGGAGTACCACAAGGCTCAATTCTTAGTCCAACTTTATTTTTAATGTACAGATTTACAACGTATATGTACAAATTTATGCCAATGATACCCAAATAATTCATAATTTGAATCCAGAATATTTACGAACAGCTACGGTCCAAAAAAGCTGTATACCATTATACCATCTATCCAGCTTTCACCATGTTACTGGGCGTTTGCCTCATCCCGAACGTAAACAACAATTAGCAACATCCTCACATAATACCGTAAGTTAAGTCAATTTAAATTCATTTTACACTATTGTTGCTACTGTTATCAATGTAATTGCAGCTCCTGATGATGATGGCAAAGTCCATTGAAAGCTAGAGAGAATTAAAAAAAGTATAAAGAGTCCTCTTTGCTTAAATTTTGTCGAAGTACCCAACAAAAAGCGGAAGCTTTAATTTTTCACCTATATATATATATTCTGATGCAGGTGTATTCCGGTGACTTCTCGAACAGCGTCAGTGTGTGGAATACTTACACTCTCACCTGTCCTTGTATTATAATGTGTGTTGATGTTTTTGTTCTGTATAAATTTTGTTTTGTTTGTATGTGTGAAAAGGGCGCACTTATTAATATGAATGCTTGGTAGAGTCATGATGTTTTTACTTCTGAAGATCTCTCTGCAGGATTCTCATCTACGAATGTTGAATATCAATCTGATTATTCTCTTCTGTTGAACAGATGCTCTAGAAATTGAAGTTGGTTGCCTCCAAATTATGATGTTTCTTGATAAATGTGAGTGGACGAATTTTTCAGCATATCCCAAAATTCTTGAATAAATCGCTCTTTCGATTATTTTAGAAAAGGTTGACAATAATGCTATGCGGCGGTAATTATCAACTTGAGTAGGATGGACACATGTAAATCATCGGCTCATGATAACAGGTTAACAAGTAGGACAAGTGAGTCTGTAGTGTAAAGATCATTACGGAACACCAGCATGGATTTTTCCCTAAAAGATCTGTAGAGACGAATTTGATGAGTTTTATAGAATATGCCTCTCACGCAATAGATGAGAAACTGCAGGTGGATGTTATTTATACCGACTTCAGTAAGGCTTTCGACAAGTTTGATCATTCTATCTTGATGGAGAGACTCGCTGAGGTGGGTGTAGATGGTCCATTATGGCAGTGGCTAGCATCGTATATAAGTAATCGTAAACAAGTGGTGACTATCAATGGGTATCGTTCGGAGACATACTTAGTAACTTCAGGCGTACCACAAGGTAGTCACTTAGGACCATTGTTATTTAACATATACATGAACAACCTTACTTCTGTTTTTCATTTCAGTAAATATTTGTTATATGCTGATGATCTAAAGATATTTACTATTGTTAGAAATGTAAATGACGGTGTAAAACTTCAAAGCGATTTGGAATCTCTGCAAAAGTATTGCACTGAAAACAGTATCTTCCTGAATTTAACAAAATGTCATTACATGAGGCTTACTAGAAACATAGCGAACACTATAGATTTCAGATATAAGATAGGAACGGCAGAACTGGAAAAGCTTCATGTAGTAAAAGACCTAGGGGTATACATTGATGAGAAACTCTCATTCATCACCCACGTAGATCACATCGTAAATGATGCAAATAGAACACTAGGGTTCATAAACAGGACATGCAGAGAATTTACGAACCCAAAAACGCTTCTTTCATTGTACTACGCTTATATACACAACAAACTGATGTTTGCATCAGTAATATGGAATCCGTCTTACAATGTACATATAGTCAGGATAGAAAGAATTCAACACAAATTTTTGAAGATGTTAGCACATAAAACTCACCAACCTGTTACAGATCATCATTATACGTAAATTATGAGACAGTTCAATATGATTTCCTTAAAAGATAGAAGAACGATTTCTGACATTTGCTGTGTCCATAAATTGTTGAATGGCCTCACTGACTGTCCGGATCTTTTGGCAAACTTGAACTTTAACACTCCTGATAGAACGTTTAGAACCTATCATCTGTTTAGAATACCGTTCCGTAGAACCAATCTTGGTCTTAATTCCCCTTTGGTCAGGGCTCAAAAAAATCATAATAATTTCTGTAATATAGATTTATTTAACATTAGCTTGACCTTCCTGAAAAAGGCTTTAAAGTATGAGTATTACAGCTCTATGGCAGACTAAAATAGAAATGTTTTATTTTTTTACATAACTATAACTCAAGTTATCACCTCCAATATCATTTCTGGTATAATTTCAATTTAATTTTGATTTCAGTTTTAATTAAACGTAAGTAAATGTTAAATTATGTATACTCCTTTTATTAAAAAAGTTAAACTAATAGTTTATTGCTTATAATTAGAACTACTCACTCAGTTTATGTTGTTACAACAATATCGGAGGATAAAAAAATATTAATATTAAAGTATTCAATAATGTAATACATGTATATGTATACGATATTTTATGTAAGTTTAGTTTTAGTTCACTGAGGGTGTGTGTTGGGTTTACCTGTTAACACCCCAAACTGTATATAAATAAATAAATAAATAAATTTCGTTTGTCTATTTTTTAAAATAATGATGAAAATGTTTTGTTTACGGAATGTCTTGACATTGACAGTTCGGTAATTGATTTAAAGGTGCGTTCACAGTAAAAGTTCAAAGTTGTCAAGTCCCTATTGGAAAACCCAATATAACTACGTCAAATGTCAAAAATACTAGGATTCGTTTTTTAATATTGAGGTTACTAAATGTATTGCTCAAATAAATAATATGACAATACGAGGGATGTCTTTTAAGTTTTGCATATGGAAATAACACAACACGGTAGGTAGTTTTAAATGACTTTATTGTTTTTCGAAGTATTCTGCACTCTAAAAAATTTTCGAAGCACTTATTCCATTCGTTTGCTGGCTGATCCAAAACGGCATTTTTGAATGCGTCAACTGCTTCTTCTGATGACTGGAACCTTTTACCACGCAGTCTGTTTTTAATTTTCGGGAAATTAAAGGAATCGTTAGGACTTAGATCGGGACTATATGGAGGATGGTCCAATAATTCCACGTTTTCTTTCATTAAATACTGCCTTGTTATTTGGGCTGTGTGCGAGCTTGCATTATCTTGGTGGAGGATGATTCTTCTTTTGGGGTCGATTTTTCGAAGTTCGGTGATGACTTTTGGCAAACAAATGGTGGTATACCAATCCGCAGTAACAGTTCTTTGCTCGTTAAGAGAAATCGTTGCAATATGACCCACTTTTCACACCAATGTCGCGACCATCTTTTTCGAAACACTTCGAGAACGAATGACGCCTCAATCTTGCGATATGTCACATGTCTATCTTCAATGATGAGTTTCCGTACAGCATCGACGTTTTCCTGGGTGACTGCCGTTTTTGGTGCACCTACCCTGGATTCGTCGCTAAGACTCACCCGCCCACGTTTGAATTCTCCATACCAACGGGAAATTGTCGACTGATGTGGCGCTTCGTTGCCGAAAACAGACAGTAACTCAGCAAGGCATTCTTGTTGCGATAATTGTCTCTGAAAGTTGTAACAAATTATGGCGCGAAAATCTTCTCGGTTGAGTTCCATTTTGACGCTTAAAAATTCACTGTAGTGAGAACACTGCACGCATTATTGTGAAACTTTGAATTTAAGTTTACTAAAGAGTGAGATTAAGATTCAGTACTGACGTCCGATCCGCGCGGCCTACTGTTTCTATATGCAAAACTTAAAAGACATCCCTCGTAATTACGTATTTTGTTTAAAACCACCTGTCCAAATCTGTTTGTAACCTTTATATCTTGTATTAACCACTAAGGATTAGCTAGACCTAGCTTTCACTGAAATAAGCTGGCTACACCTAGCTCTAACATAGCTGCAACCGCATTTGGGAGTCCAGCCGTAACAAAGACACACATAACCACCCCATTACTTATAAATTTCAAGCAGTGTTATCCTATGTTGAAAGACAACGACAAATTCTTGAGAAACAACCCAGGTAATAGAAAGATAAGCCTATTAACCGTTGACAGCAAACCACTGTTATACAAATAATAATTCTAGATATGCCTCTATGACTAAACCCATATCTGCCACTGTAATTCACGCCTAAAACAGTCGTCGGGCATTAATATTCCAACAGCACCGATAAGACATTGCCCATTCAGGTACAGCTGGTTTAGATGCACAAGGAATAGTAAGAATGGTTAAGTGGAAATGTGACCTCAGCTTTCTTTGGCTCACTCATTATAGGAATGGTGGATATAAAAGTGCATTATCGCTTTTAAATATTTATTGTTGACATTTGTGCAATTTGATGGGCAAGTTACATCTAACGACATGGTTATTGGAACAGTTATTACTTTTTAATGAATTTGTAATAAATGAAATTGGAAACATAGCGGCCACCACTCAAGCTGAGTATAGCTCTAAGTTCCAGCTCCTCAACTTTCTGGACATTCAGTGTGTAGTGTAGTAGCTCAGCAGCGCTCAGACTCCACGTGGCATACACCACATTAAACATCCGGTTGAAGCTGTATTTAAGGGTGACTCTTCTTTTGCAGCGCGACTCATATGACCGTGTGACGTTTGACAGAATCCATGAAGGCCCAGCTGCCCTGACTCCACAGTCGCCTTTCCAAAGATCATTAGATCCAAGGCTGGGATATCCAGCAGAGCTGCAATTGTTCTCAATGGTGCTGTCCGCACTGCGCTTGCAATGCTGATATAAGCCAAATGTTGGATTTTGTTGGGTTTGGCCTTAGTTGTCTCCGTTCCAATGCAAGGCCACGCATGAGATAGATGGTCGATAGGCTTGCCATGTGGTCCGCTTTGTCGTTACCTGTGCCCAGGAATTTCACAAGACGATGAGCAGATGTGCATTCTTGAGCAGGAAGTGACCTACTACGATTCTTCTTTAATACATCCTTGAATCACAAGGAAACAAGTTCAGTATTTTTTTTTTTGGTGGAGACTATACAAGAAGCAAAACACGATTAACAATTTCTAATGCTTCAAATTGCTAGAACTTGTACCACAAAGACGACGTTGCGAAGTATAAATACAATACAGCGAACTTCTTCCTTCTTGACCGAATTCCGAGGTACGAATATGGCAGTGGTGGATGTTTCATCGATGTTCGTGAAAGTGACCGAGCGTTAACCGAAAGTCCCGCCTGCGACAGTTTCGATTTCTACCGGCCAAAATCCTAACCGGTTTTATGATCCAGTCAATTTATACCGCCCACTGCTTGAAAATTGAAACGAAATAATAAGCTTTACTCTGGATTTAAGGCGTGCCCATTCAGATAATGCTAAGTTAGAAGGTTAGGTTAAAATTTTGCTACAACCATATGACCTCAAACAATATAAGAACACTTACAATATTGTATCATCTGATACTGTCATCCTGTGGTTTTCATACTTAATTTCGATACTTTGCTGGTATTCAAATAAAATCACATACAGGGTGTTTCAGTTTATTGTTGCATAACTTCATAGACCTTTTAAAATTAATGCATAAAGTCTATATAAACATGGGTCGAAAAATGCGTGGCTTCCGAAATACAGGGTGTTTAAATTTACTTTCTAAAATAGTTTTTTTTAAATATTCCGAACAATATTTGATGTATAACAGTGAAAATTGGTATACGAGGCGACAAAACGAACCATGGGCATAGTTTTACTGTAGCCGGTAGAGGGCGCTCTCTACTGTATCTGTAGTGTATTAAAACGACCGAAAATTTTTTCTTAGTGCAAATTTTTTGCTTTTTGAATAAAAAACTGATTCTTCGCCTTTTTCAACATAAAAAAGCAAATTTTCGTTATAGTTAGCCGTTTTTGAGATATTTCGATTTTTAAGGTTCGGTTAATTATTTAGGATAAAATAACGGTAAAAAGTCAGTATCTCGATAATTTTTAGAAGTAGGCTGTGCCTGCAAATATTTTTGAAATTGAAAGCAGAATAAGGTTAAAAGTCAATTAGTTGACAGTTAGTTTTGTTGTCTGTTGAAACCTGAAACGTCTTTTTGCAATTGTGAATGCACGAAATTTAGTTTTTTTACCTGTTTTATAAAAATGCCATTTTTATTCTCCAATCAAGAGTTAGCGGATATTCATTTTGTGTATGGCTTTGTAAATGGAAACGCAGCAGAAGCAGCCAGAGAATACGCACGAAGATTTCCAGACAGACGACATCCAACTCGCTCAGTATTTGTAAGAGTGTATTGCCAAATAATTGAAAATGGTTTTGGAAATCTCCAAAGGGATCAAAACATAAATGTTCGTCAGCGCAGATTTACCCGTATGATTCTGCGTGAGTTTGATAGAGATCCGACCACAAGTGTTAGGAGAGTTTCTGGTGCCTTGGGAATTTCAGCAAGCCATGTTCACAGTGTTCTTAGAAATAACCATAGACGTCCTTACCATTTGCAACCTGTGCAAGGACTACAGCCAGGGGACGGAGAATGAAGAATCACATCTTGTCAGTGGATTCTTGATAGAACTGATAATAATAGGGAGTTTTTAAGTAACGTTTTATGGACCGATGAGTCATGCTTCACTAGACGAGGAGTGGTAAATTTTCATAATCAACATATTTGGTCGCATGAAAATCCGCATGCAGTTCGGGAAAGAAATTTTCAGCATGAATTTAGTGTGAACGTGTGGATTGGTATCTACCGTAATCGACTATTTGGACCCTACCTTTTGCCTGCAAGGTTAAATGCTGCGACCTTCTTGGAATTTTTAAAGGCTGAACATGCAAATATGTGGGATGATGCTATGTTAGATTTAAGAAGATTGGCCTGGTTCCAGCTCATTATTCGAGAATAGTTAGAAACTGGCTGGACGAAAATTATCCAGAAAGATGGATCGGCCGTGGAGGACCAGTCGCCTGGCCTCCACGATCCCCTGGCCTAAATCAATTAGATTTCTTTGTGTGGGGATTTCTAAAAGAAAAAGTGTACCAGACTCCCGTAACCACAAGAGATATGCTAATAGACAGAATCAGGAATGCATGTGATGAAATAAGGCCTTATTTGAATAATGCTATACCACGTTCGATCATTCGTAGATGTGAATTGTGTATTGAATAATTGGCTTTACATTTCGAGCAACTACTTTAGATTTTGTATGTTTGTCCTAACTATCCAATAGCATTTTAGTTGTAAATAATTAATTTAATTTGTTAAAAATAATACTGGAAAATTAAATTAATATTCTGTTTTTTTGTGTTTATTTGGAGTTAGGAATTATTGCTGTGTTTAAAAATACAATCTAAACGATCATCTTAATTACTTGTAATGCCCAAACCGAAAATGTAAAAAAATATTATTTTCCCATAAATAAATGCATCGAACCTTAAAAATCGAAATATCTCAAAAGCGGCTAACTATAACGAAAACTCACAGGAGAGCTTTTTTATGTTGAAAAGTGCGAAGAATCAGTTTTTTATTCAAAAAGCAAAAAATTGCACTAAAACAAATTTCGGTGCTTTTAATACACTACAGGTACAGTAGAGAGCGCCCTCTAGCGGCTACAGTAAAGCTATGCCCATGGTTCGTTTTGTCGTACCAAAAAACCCTTGTATACCAATTTTTACTATTATACATCAAATATTGTTCGAAATATTTAAAAAAAACTATTTTAGAAAGTAAATTTAAACACCCTGTATTTCGGAAGCCACGCATTTCTCGACCCATGTTTATATAGACTTTATGCATTAATTTTAAAAGTTCTATCGAATCTTAAAGTTATGCAACAATAAACTGAAACACCCTGTATATTGGAGTTGATGTTTACTTAGGTTGAGATGATATTTGCCCATCAAAACCTGGTGATTTCTCTTTTGCTTTGTAGCAGTGGATCTTCACAAGGACGGAACAGCTGTTATGGACAAATAATACCATCCGACATTAAAAGGACGTGTTAAAAATCTAGTTTTAAAGTCCCAGATTGAAATACTCTTACATTGCACTTCTGTTTATACATATATTCGATAGTATTATATCAGATATTTCTTTTATTACATAGCGTTGTTATTTAAAATATATTATTTTTTTTCATATAGTGGGAGAAAAATCCAAATAAAGACGTTTGTTATTATTATTCAGTTATATTTTTCCACATGCACAAACAACTTCACTGTACTAATGAGCTCAACCAGTTTTCGCTCTCCACCGAAATGTTAAGGACAGCCTACTGTTTTTAACCTCAATAACACTAAGAAATTGAAGCATGCAGATTTTGTTCAACTTACGCTTTCTTGACTAAGCTTAAGTGGGGCATTCAAACATACATGATAATTTCACGAGTATTATATAGCAAGAATCACAAGTTCATATAGAGGAGTCGCGAGTTGACTTAACGTTCTGTTTGAGGCCATATGACTATTCTGTCAACTTTTCTTGACCGTCTAAGTCATTAGAAAACCGCTTGAAGTATAGAAGCTAAATGTTAGAGTATTTGCAAGTGTGAAAATACCATTTAACTGGTAAAAGTTTCGTCCGCCGGTAATTGAACATCTTGTCACCTCTAAATGAACAGTAACTATTCTTTCTTAATTATGTTATACGGCACATTTTTTTCATT